TTTTTTTTTTTTTTTTTTTCATATTTTCATTTTATTACTTCAGACGTTTCTCCTCTATTGCCGCCAGTGAAATTCAATTTCCTGCCAATGACAGGGTAATTTTATATTCTTGCGTTAAAGATATTGGAGCCGATATCGGCTTCAGAATTTAATGTCAGCCAATTTGATGTTTGTCAATGTGACCTTAGATGAATACGTATGAACAATAATTTTTCGCTCGTTCCCCGAGAAAAATTTCATCACCTTTCATAAAAAGGAAATGGAACATTTGCCATGAAACCATAGAAATGTTTTATCTTTTATACATTACCCAATATTGATTAAATTTTTGATATTATAAAAAAAAAACCAAATGTACAAATTCTTACCTCAATGGTATTTAATATTCTATTATAATGATCTTCATAAAGTAATTATAACTCGTTGTGTAATTACATCATCTTCTATCACTTATAATCACTCATAGTCATATTATAACCACAATTGTATCAATAGAAAAGATTACAGTTATCTTATAATCACTTATACTCACCATAATAATAGTAAATAACAGTAATCACAAAATCACATTAAAACTAATAATTTAATAGCTAATGATTTTACGTTTTGATTATATATTATAGTCACTCTTAGTCATATAATATTATCTTCAATTGCTTTTCATATGGTCTTTTATATATAAATATAATAAATTTATACAAAATATGCAATAATATAATCACTTGCAATAAATACTTGAATCTTTAACGATGTAATGTAATGTAAACTTCTTTCAGCTGCCAGTCTACTCTCGGCGATGGATCGGACAGCAGCGCCATGCGTGAATTTTTTCCAGTACGCGTGTGGTACGTGGAACCGTCGTCACGTGATCCCAGAGGATCGAAGTTCGATCAGCACGTTCGAAGTGTTGGCCAATCAGTTACAAGTAATTCTGAAACGCATCCTGGAGGAACCACCGAACAACGAAGACAACAACGCCACCTTGAAAGCGAAGATGTTCTACAAGTCGTGCATGGACATCCGTGGGTACAACGAAAATTCTTTTCGAACTTGCATCTTCTCGAGAAATCTTACATGTCATCTTGAATTTCTAAGACAAAGAGAAGAAGGAAAAATGAAGTTTTGAGGTTAAAAAGTATTCTCTGTTTATTTGTTTTTACAGCTCGTATAAGGAAGATAGGAGATACACCATTGAGAAAGACGTTAGAGTTTCTTGGCGGTTGGCCAGTAGTGGTTGGACCATCATGGAAGCCACCTCCATATTCCGTCGAGGTTTTGCTAGGTCGATTAAGAGGCCAGTACAACGAGGGAGTGTTGTTGGAACAATGGGTCGGTCCAGATGACAAGAACTCCTCAGCCAATATCCTCCAGGTGCGCCGGCAAAGTAAGGCCCCTTGGTCTACAACTGCACTGTATAATTAGATTGGATTTCAATGTTACGTTCTTAAAAATTGAAAAGAATATAATAGGATTTTTAATCATCTGAAAGATTTTTCTTCGAAATTTTTCTTATTATATATGAAGTATAAAAGATGATCAGATGAAACGACAATTCCCAGATACTATGAGTTCACGTTAAAAGTAATTTTCAGTAATATCCAGTTTTGGGTACTATTACGAACTGTTGGTTGGAACTTGGAAAAAATGGAATTCTACCGTAATCTAAGTACTAGTATGAAAATTTCTATTG